CGTTAAAATTTTTGGAGTCGTTCCTTTTCTTCTTCTCCATTGTTTCTTTTATTGTAGGAGCATTTCTGCACTTTTCGGAAGATTGCTCAAATTGCTTCCTATGGGTATTAATAGCTTCATCTGTTGATATTTGTGCCTCCACACGATATATTAGTTTAGTATATAAAGGAACCATATCTCGCATAAGTGCCGAGTAAAAGGGACCAGGATGAAGACCTCCAAGGAAAACTCCTCTAGCAATTTAGGATCTACTTCTGGAATTTATTGAGCATCCATAGAAAATCATTGAAAATACACCTTCAGTGATTCTCCTTCATTCTAGCGAATCTCAGAAAGGTGGGAAGAATCCTTAGCATTTTTTTGATTGGCAATAAATTGTTCAATGAATACTTTGGCCAATATAATAAAAGTGGAGATTATTCAAACTGGAAGTGAATAGAACCATATTCGTGCTTTTCCCTTGAGGTTAACAGGGAAAACTTGGCATAGGAGCGCATCTAAGGCTCGTTGGATATGCATGATGGTCCTATAATGATCGATATGCTCTATGGGTGTAAATGAGTCGAGTCGAGCTCGAGTCAGGGGGTGTTCGAGCCGAATCGTGAGCCAAATATCGAGCTCAACTCGTGAGCCGAATATCGAGCTCGAACTCGAGTCAAGCTCAAAAGTCGAGCTCGACTCGCGATACTGTAATGAGCCATCAAGCTGCTCGTCGAGCCGCTCGTCTTGCTTTCCCGCTCGGCCTTTTGTTTTCCCGCCCAGTTTTACCAATGGTATTATATAGCTACCGCATTCCAAAAAAAAAACAAAAATAGCTATTGCATTGGGAGAAAAAAAAAGCTGATGTAGCATTTATTATGTCTCCTATTATATTATTTGAAAGGGAAAAAAGCTGTCAGCATTTATTAGCATTTGTTAGAATAGACATTTGAGAGAAGAATTTTTGAAATTTTTTGAACTTTTATATGAAGCTGCCCGTTTTGGTAGAAAAAAACTAACATCAAAATTTTTATAAAAAAAAAAATGGCTCAAAATATTATTTTTGAGCCGGCTCAAGCTCGAACTCGAGCTCGTTTACGAAACGATCTTGAACTCGAGCTCGAGCTCGACTCATGAGCTCGATAAGCTCGGCTCACGAGCCTATAAACGAGTCGAGCTCGAGCCGGCTCGGCTCACTTACACCCCTAATATGCTCGTATAGGTTGGATGTCACGTCATAAGAATCGATGCTCGATAGTTTGAATCCTGTCAGAATAAGGTGTTGAAGGATGGCTTTGGTTAGGGGTGATAACTCTTGTAAGTCCCACTAACGATGAGATTGCCTTATACCCCTTATGGGAAACTCTTGTTGGATAAATCTTCATATTTCATGATGTAGGGCGTTACGAGGGAGTTCAACAATATGCTGTAGGGCTGAGTCCTTGGGGATATCTGAAGGAATGCAAGGTTGGCGACCTGTGTGTAAAGGATGGGTTGAGCTTGCTGTGTCAGCAAGCTCATTATCTTGATGTGTCAGAGGATGCATCCTTGGCAGAGGAAGGGGAATCTCACCATGATGATGTTCGGGTTGAACATCTTCGAGCCCTGGTGGATCTCGCGGGAGAAGAATCTCTTCTTGAGGTGCTAGTGCCAATCGTTGAGTCTCTCGCAGGAGTTGAAGGATCTCATTATGAGATTCCTCCATCTTTCTAAGGAGGTCTTCCAGGGAAGGCCCTGAAGTTTCTTCTCCAGCAACATTATGCCCCCTAGGATAAAAAACGGTAGATGCCTGGCGTCCCTGGTTCATGGAAGGATTTTTGGATTGGTGTGAGTTGGAGCGGGAGGCTCCCAAGATACGATTGTTATGCCTGTTGGCCATCATAGTGGTGCTTAAAATAGTGGGATTGAGTTTCCCACAAATGGCGCCAAACTGTTGCAGGCTAGAACAGCGATAGAGTTAGAAAGTTTTTGTCTCAACGTTGTACGAATATTCAGCACACAAACAGAAGAAAAATAAATACTCCAAGATTTTTACATGGAAACCTTGGAAAGGGAAAAACCCCAGGGCCACGCTTAGTTGAAAGAATTCCACTAGTGTTTGGTTGAGATAAAAGAGACTGACTCGTCCTTAAAATTTAGGACAATTAAATTATAATGATTCACTTTCGGATTGAAATCCAGTTATAAATAAGTTGTGTATTTGGGTTGAATTTAGAGTCACTATGAGATTAGATAGATTTCCGTGCCATTTGGAGATCGGGTAGAGTTCTGACTTCATTGGAAAGTCGGGCGAAACTCCGGCATTACTTGGAAGTCGAGCGGAATTTTAGCGTCACTTGGAAGTTAGACAGAATCCCGGTGTCACTTAGAAGTCGGGCAAATTTTCGGCATCACTTGAATGTCGACGGTGGTCGAGGAGGAGTTTCTTTCCTTCTTCTCTTCTCTTCTTCTTTTTTCTTGGGTCCTCTCTTAAGAGAAATGAGGGGTTTTTTATAGTTTTTTGAGGATGGCATGACCCGTAAATAGGAGGAGGATCAAGGGAAAATATGGAGTGGTTTGGATGGACGGCCGATATTGAATCCCTTGATCGTGGACTGTTTATTAGACATTTGAAGGTCTTAATGATATCAGAATTTGGCAATCTTGCTCGTTGGATTCTTCTTGTCGAACAGCTTGATTTGATTATAAGCATGTCATGTTTGGAAACTGTTTGGTAATCCAAATTGTGTTTTGAACCTTCTAATAGCAATTCGGGTCTTTGATTTGGACCCATTTGGGCTCGGATTGAGTTGAATTTGGTGTCGTTGGGTTCGTATTTCCAAGACGATCAGTTCAACTATAAGTTTGTTGAAATCAGAGTTCAGATGATCCAAGATTTGATTTTTGAATTTTCCAACTTGATTTTTGCCTCGAGATTTGTGTCCGATCAAGATAATTTTTTTATGACATATCAAACATGTTTGAAGGTGATCTTGTGGGGATTTGTGTTCACAATGATGAAGAAAGAGAAAAATAAAATTATGATTAAAAATCAATAATTCCCATTAATAGGCTTTACCCACTCGATGATGAATGTGGAAAATCTAAGTCGCTAAAGATTTCAATGCTAAATGAAGAGGTGGAAGAAGTCTTTCTTGCTCTCCATAACTTATTGAGAGCCAAGAAAGGCTAGCTTATGGAGAATAGAGCCCCATGATGACCCCACAATGCTAAGGTGTTATATAAAATAAGAAATTAAGGGAAGGTGGCCTCCAAAGTTACATGGTAACATAGAAAGAGGAGCTAAGTTATCCTTTTTTTCCAACTCTTGATTCATAAGAACAAATCACCTCCTAAAGAGGAGGTGTACAAACAATATATCAATACATTTACTGATGCTAAGTGTAGTAGTTCCAAGTTAGTCAAGACTAATAGAAAACTCATGAAGGTTTTCTAAATGATGTATGAAAGCTATAAGTAGAGTTCTAAAAGAGAGATACTAGAGAGGCAAAGTGCCAAGAGAAAGTTCTCAAAAAGGAATCAAAGACAGAAGTCTTGTAAAACTGTCAAGACCATGTACCATGCAATAGTAATGATAGTCTAGCACTAGTGAACCATGATTTTGGTGCCACATGTAATGTCACCTTCTCATAAATTCTTCAAAATAAAGTCTTAATTACTTGTATAAAATATAGTGTCAAATTTAGCACTATAATATCATAAATGCTTACCTTGTTGTAATTGACATACTCTATAAATATAAAGAGATGTCAAGGAAGGACAAATTGGGTTAGACATATTCTATTTATATAAAGGGATGTTTGAGGGAGAACAATATAGTTAGCTTCTTGAGTACAACCACTCATACCTTAACTATGTTTCTTCTAAGAAAGATAATTCATCTTATAGCCTCCTAAGATATAATCGATAGACTATTAGAGCTAGAAAGCTAAAGAGATAATTCAAGGAAGAATTATCTTCATCCTTGTTGTATTTTACCTAATTCATTGATGAGGAAACTAGGGCAAATCAATGTATAGTTAGTAGGTTCAAAGTATTTTCAAAGCTTAGAAGTATGAGCTAAGGTGAGTTGCAATGAGAGAAGCATAGGTGGTCACTTATATAGGTTGGATCTAACCCACTACTAAGAGATGCAGGTTCTATATAATATTTATGTTAAAGGAAACAACTTGATTAGTGCCCCCTTAAAGTTGTGATGAAAGGGTTATTTGAGTTATTGTAAAACAGAATTCAAATTTTGGACAGATTTGGAGCAAAAAATTATGAACTCTAATAATATGCATTTTTCTTGAAGAAAAATAATGAGAGACTCCAAATCAAAGGTTTAGGATGTCAGAGAACTAATGGTGGTATTTTATGAGTTTTTGGACCAATGGTTGAGGAGTTATGATACTTTTAATTTGGTTGCTTGTTTTAGAAAATTATCTCTCTATATTGATATTTTGTTTATGATATCTTAGAATTATTGGAGAGTTGAGGTCTTGGACCGTTATAAGAGATATGAGCAGGGGCGAAACCGGCCTTAATTTTTAGGGGGGG